CCTACAACCATTTCATCTATGAGGTCCTCGCTACTCACCAAAACCAAATCTAAAATAGCATCCCCCCCTCGTTGGTTCAGCAACTACTTGATGCAGGAATTCATCAGCTATCACATCTAGGAAAATCTGAGCCCTATTATTATTACTAGCACTTGTTCTCCAGTCTATATCTGGAAAGTTGAAATCTGATTACACAGTTTCCATGAGTATTTACTTCATTAAAAACATTAAAGAGGTCTCTATCCATGTCCAAATTGGATCCTGGTGGTCTATAACACACCCCAAGCACTATCCCAGGGGAGGATCTGATAGTTTTCTTCCCCAATGTGATTTTTGCCCAAATGGACTCTGTCTTCTCCATTCCATCACTTTTTATTTCTTTACAATCTACCTCATCTTTGATATACAATGCGACTCCACCACCTTTACCCTTATTTCTGTCTTTCCTAAACAGCACATACCCTTCAATACCTGTACTCCAGTCATGCCTAGTATTCCACCATGTTTCTGTTATTCCTATAATATCTGGTTTCACTTCCTGGACCAATAGCTCTAGTTCCTCCTTTTTGTTACCTAGGCTCCTCGCATTGGTGTACAAACATCTTAATTTTTGCTGTTTGGCCTCATTCACATTCTTTACCCAATTTGGCACAGATGTTATACCTCCAATATGACCTATTAGACTAGTATCCACCCCACCCTTCCTCATGTTCATTCTCCTACCCCCAGCTATATCCTTTCTTACTTCGTTTTCCTCTCTCTCAGTGTTAAAATCTGGCGTAGAGATTACCTTGGCATCTCCCAACCGTCTCCCCCAAATTCCTAGTTTAAAGCTCTCTTAATAAGTTGAGCCAGCCTCCATCCTAGAAGTCTATTTCCCTCCCTACTTAGGTGAAGTCCATCTCTAGAGAACAGTCCTCTGTCCATAAATGCCTCCCAGTGACCATACATCCCAAAGCCCTCCTTATAGCACCACTGCCTAAGCCATCTATTGATCATCATAATCCTGTCACATCTTTGTTGCCCTTCTCTAGGAACAACAACATTTAGTTGGGATTGGTCCTGCCTTGTGCAGGGGGCTAAACTCGATGACCTCCTGAGGTCTCTACCAGCTCTGTGATTCTATGATTCTCTTCGTAATCAATATTCTTCAAGTCTTCATTTCTTTGGCCTCATTCTTCTTCTGTCATCTTCATATTTTCTCTTTGTTATTTTTTGAGTTTGGATTTCTTCATGCTCATTTTTCTTGTTCTGCTTCAGCATCTTCAAGGTTGGTTTTCTTTTTGCTCAATCTTTTCTCCCATTCATGCTGTCATTTTCCCCCATAACTTTCAAGTTTCTTCATGTTTGGTTGTCATTTTCTGTGCTTTCTAACTTCCTCTTATTTGGTTTTCCTTGCCTTTGAGGTTTGTTGCACTTCTTTGTGTTTAGTCCTCTTTTTTTAGTCCTCTTTTTTGTGTGCCCTTGTTTTTCTTGTTCAGGGTTTTCTTTGCTGGTTGATTTGTTTTCCTCATGTCTGGTCTTTTGAGCATTTAAGTTTCTTCTTTATACTTTTTTTTAACTTTTACTAGGTCATTGTTCTTCACATTTTGTCTTCATGCAAGGTCGTTTCGTATGTTCTCCATTCTCCAAGAGGAGACAGCTAGTCGAATAGAAGAGCAGAGGGGTCTGGGAATTAGGACTCAAGGTTTCTATTTATAAGGCTGGAAGGAAAAGTGAGGTTTAGGACTTAACTAAGAACACCTATGGGTCAGAACTCTAGCATTTTATTCCCATCTCTGGTAGATGATGGTTGTCTCTTGCTTAGATCAGCGAAAATGGAAGATGAGACACTTCTGAGCTATGATTTAGTGTGAGGTTTCTGACTTTTTTTAACCCACATTCTGTTACTTTCAGGTTTTTGCAGAGGAAGTTTCCTTGGGAAAGACTTCATTACAGTCTTCATGCAAAACCATATTGAAAGTGTTAAAGCCGACTGCAAGCTGCTCATCACTGGTTACCACGCCTCCACTACAGTTACTGTGATGGTGAACAAGGGTACGTTCCAGAGCGTGACACCCATCGGAGCAGGACAGACGGTGACAGTGCAGATCCCAGCCTCTGTAGAGATGTTTGGCAGCACACCATCCACTAGCACCATCCTGATTCGGGCTGACAAAGAGATCTCTGTCCTGTCTGTTAACTCAAAGCCCAATTCCATTGCTACCACAGTTGTGTACCCCACTGAGGAGTTGGGTACCATATATTACATTGTAAGTCCCCCTGGTACACATCTAAGCAGCTACAAAGAGTTTGCTGTCGTAGCAGGGCCGGCTCCCACTACAGTTGATATTTACGTGCAAGGGGCTGTGGTGTTCAAAGGATGGATCTATGCTGCTGGGAAGAAACTCAATGTTGCCCTCGCACCCTACCAAGCCTTGCAACTGCAAAGCTTAGTTGATTTATCTGGTACCAAGATTGAGTCTCGGGAACACGTGGCCGTTTTGACTGGTCACAGCTGTGCCGGAAAAAACACCGCTTGCGATCATGCTGTTGAACAGCTCCTGCCTGTCTCCAGTTGGAGCAGTGCCTACATCATCCCTCCTCTGTCCCTCCAGCCCAGGTTTGACACTGCCTACGTTGTCGCCTCCCAAAACACTTGCATTGACTATCAGTCAGGGCCCAGACGAGCTTTCCGCGATATAGTAGCTGGGCAAGTGGTCAAGTTTGAAGTCCATGTCTCTCACCCACTGTACATCTCTGCTAGTGCTGGAATCCAGGTTCTTCTCTTCTTCACTGGTGCTAAGAATGGGAAATTCACATACGACCCATTTCTTATCAACATCCCACCCATCACAAGTTACTGCCAGTCCTACCACATTGATGGGATAAAAGACTTTGAGAACCATGTGCTGATCATAGTCAAGCATTCAGAGTCCAGCAGGATCACTGCTGATCAGAGAGCCATAGGAAATGTCCAGTGGAGGCAGATCCCCAGCACAGAGTATTCTTGGGGACAGTACCGCTTCGGCACAGGGACTGGTGCCCATTCCATCGAGCACCCGAACTCTCCCTTTGGTTTGCTGAGCTTTGGAGTGAATGACCATGGTGGATATGGCTCAACAGGCATTTGCATACACAGTAAGTCATGTTTTGGGTGTAAATAAAATCAAGCTTCTCCCTCCCCAATATCCCATGGAATGGGACATGGCAACAAATATTGACAAAGAGACTGCACAAAGCTTGATATTCAGCTTTGTCTCATTTGTTTACCAAGCCCCACATCCCCACCCCAGCCAGCACAGACACCTAGTAGCAGAAAAATGTACTGCAAGCACATTGTTTCAATGCCTACCAGTGCATGGCATAAGACTTGTATAACTGGCTGGTTGAATCTTTCTAGGTAATTCAACCCCATCCTGCAGCACTCTTCAATGCAGGAAGAAAGAGAAGTGTCAGATGGTAGATGGTCACCCAGTTTGTATGGCTGAATCAGAATCCACCTGCTGGGCTCAGGGGGACCCTCATTATCACACCTTAGATGGGCGGAATTTTGACTTCATGGGCACCTGCACCTACACCATCGCCAAGACCTGTGGCCCAGACTCAACTCTCCCGCCATTCAGTATCAAGGCCAAGAATGACAATAGGGGCAACACGCATGTGTCCTATGTTGGTCATGTGACAGTCGAGGTCTATAATGTCACTGTCTCAATGGTCCGATATGAGATGGGATTCATAAGGGTAAGAGAGCAACATGAATACTGATACTGTGTTTTCTGCTCGTGTTTTAACAGTGAATTTGGTGATGCTAACATGAAACCACGTCTGCTAGAAGCGGCTGCTGGAAAGATTTACTATAGAGATTCATACTTGTAGATCTGAAAAGCAATTCACCTGCTGTTCCAGCCATGGGCTCCTCCCTTTCCGCTTTGCTCTACCAATGTCCCTTAGTCCTGGCCTAGGCTCCTTTCACACACACCTCTGCCAGTTCCTCCTGATCTAAATCACAGTCCCTCTGCAATTCCCACCCTGGGCTCCCACTGTATTCACAGATTTGCTGATAAACACCAATCTGGACCTACCGTCTTCCCCTCCCTGCAGTATCCCAGCACTAGACTACCCCCTCAGTCCATACATACATGCAGCTCTACTGTCTCAGCTCTGGGATCTCCACCCCCAAAGCTACTCATGAAATTCTCTTCCACTGTCTTCGGCAGAGTATGTGATACTGTCTGGTAGTTTTGTTTAGAAAAATCTGTGACAAACCTGGGTATACAACTACATCACAATTAATGCAAAGTGCAGGACAATGTGGCACTTTAAAGACTAACAAGATGGTTTATTAGATGATGAGCTTTCGTGGGCCAGACTTC